GACCAGTGTCCAGCTGGGATCCATGGTGTGACAGAAACCTTTTCATTCCAACCAAAACAAAAGGATTTACGTGTCCCCATCCATGTCTCAGATCAACGTCTTTATTTCCACCTCAGCTTCAAGGCTTTCAAGGGGATGAACAGAAACCTTTTCATTCCAAAACCAAAACAAAAGGATTTACGTGTCCCTGCTGGCAGAGCACTCACATGCTTGGATGGGTGGGAAGAACCATTTTTGGAGGAGTTTCCACACCACTCTCTCCAAAATTTGGGGTTTTGCCCCAATCCCACTCCATTCCGCTGTGGAAGATGCCCGTGGGCCAGAAATAAATAAAACAATGGACTGATGTTGGAGAAGACCTCCGAGGCTATCTAATGTTGCCTAAGACCACCACAAGACGGAAAAACAGATTTTTCTAGGGTCAGAACTCGACAAATCCGCTCTCCACAACGGATGTCTGATGTTGGACTGCGGATGTGCCCACGGGGAGCCAGGATGATGCGGAGCCCCCAGGTGTCTTCCCAACAGGGATCACCGGCACCAGGGATCACCGGGGCTCCCTGGGGATCATCCAGCGCGGATCCTCCCGCGGGGGATGGAGCTGGAGCAGCGCACGGAGCTCTTCCTGCGCTCTGGGCACTCACAGGGCTGCCCTCAGTGGTACTTCCATTGGTGTCTGGCCAAGAGGGAGCTGGCGGAAAAGCTCTTCCCGCACTGGGGACACTCACGGGGCCCCGGCCCGGAGTGGATGAGCCGGTGCTTGACAAGGTAGGTGTGGAGCTTGAAGCCCCGGTTGCAGTCGGGGCAGCGGAAGGGCTTCTCCCCTGAATGCGTGCTCTGGTGCCTCTGGAGCGTGGAGTTAACCCGGAACCTCTTCCCACACAGCATACACTCGAAGGGCTTCTCCCCGCTGTGGCTCTTCTGGTGGGAAGCCAGGCAGGAGCTCGTGCTGAAGCTCTTGCCACACTGCCCACAGTGGTAGGGCCTCTCCCCGGTGTGGATCCTCTGGTGGCAGACCAGGCTGGTGCTCGTCGTGAAGCTCTTCCCGCACTGCCCACACTGGTAGGGCCGCTCCCCCGTGTGGCTCCTCTGGTGGACAGTCAGGTAGGAGCTCAGCATGAAGCTCTTCCCACACTGGGGACACAGGTAGGGCCTCTCTCCGGTGTGGGTGCGCCGGTGGATGGCGAGGGTGGAGTTGTCCCTGAAGCCCTTCCCGCAGTCGGGGCAGAGGAAAGGCTTCTCATCGGTGTGAGTGCGCTGGTGAACGAGGAGAAGGGAGCTGGTGCGATACCCCTTCCCGCACACATCACACTCGTAGGGCCGCTCCCCCGTGTGGATCCTCTGGTGGTAGATCAGGAAGGAGCGGGTGATGAAGCTCTTCCCGCACTCCCCACACTTGAAGGGCCTCTCCCCGCTGTGGATCCTCTGATGGACGATCAGGTAGGAGCTCGTGCTGAAGCTCTTCCCACAATGGGGACACTGGTAGGGCCTCTCCCCAGTGTGGCTCCTCTGGTGGACAGTCAGGTGGGATCTCGCCATGAAGCTCTTCCCACACCGCCCACACTCGTAGGGCTTCTCCCCGGTGTGGATCATCTGGTGTTTCATCAGGCAGGAGCTCGTCCTGAAGCTCTTCCCACACTGGGGACACTGGTAGGGCCTCTCCCCGGTGTGGCACCTCAGGTGGACACTCAGGTGGCAGCTGCGGCTGAAGCTCTTCCCACACTGGAGACACTCGTAGGGCCGTTCCCCCGTGTGCTTCCTGCGGTGGACGGTCAGCTCCGTGCTGGAAGCGAAGCCCCTCCCGCACTGCCCGCACTTGTAGGGCCTCTCTCCAGTGTGGATCCTCCGGTGGACGATCAGGCAGGAGTTTGTGCTGAAGCTCTTCGCACACTGGCCACACTTGTAGGGCCGTTCCCCGGTGTGGATTCGCAAGTGGTACACCAGGGAGGATTTACACGTGAAGCTCTTCCCACACTCCGAGCACCTGTGGGGATTCCCCCCGTCCTGGAGTTGCTGATGGACCCCCAGCTCCGAGCTCCGGCCCAGGGAGGGTCGTTCCCCCTCGGATCCTGGCCAATGCCCCGGGTGGCGCCTCTGGTGTAAAATCAGGCGGGAGCGCAGGGTGAAGCTCATCCCACAGTGTCCGCACTTGTAGGGCTGTTCTCCCGTGTGGATCATCTGGTGTAAAACCAGCTGGCAGCTCGTCTTGAAGCTCTTCCCACACTGTCCGCACTTGTAGGGCCGTTCTCCCGTGTGGATCATCTGGTGGACAATCAGCTGCTGGTTCGTGGTGAAGCTCTTCCCACAGTGTCCACACTTGTAGGGCCTCTCCCCGGTGTGGATGCGACGGTGGGTGACGAGGTTGGACTTCTGACTGAAGCCCTTCCCGCAGTCGGGGCAGACGAAGGGCTTCTCCTTGGTGTGAGTGCGCCGGTGCTTGATGAGATCAGAGCGGGTCAGGAACCTCTTCTTGCACTGACCACACTCGTAGGGCCTCTCCCCAGTGTGGATTCTGAAATGTTCAACCAGACAGCATCTCCACCTGAAGCTCTTCCCACATCGCGAGCACGTGTGGGGCTTCTCCCCATCCTGGAGCTGCTCAGGGACCCCCAGCTCCGAGCTCCGGCCGCCTCCCCGGCCCAGCCTGGCTCTTTCCCCCTCGCATCCCTGCTCTCTGCGTTTGCAGCCCGTCCTGCTGAGGGATCTCCGGGGTTTTTCCTCGGGCGAGCTGCGGCCGCAGCGGGGGAACCGCGTGGGAGCTGCTCCTCCTCCCGCTCCTCCTCGTGCCTTGTCCCTCCTCTTCCTCTTCCTCCTGCTCCTCCTCCTCTTCCTTTGTCCCTCCTCTTCCTCCCTCTCTCCTCCCCCTCCCGTGTCCCCCCTCTCGCTGCCGCTGCTGCCCCGCTCCCAGCCCGGCCCGGGCGGTGCCGACCCCCAAAAGCAGCCGCGCTCTGCCCCGGGCGGGTTCCCAAGCGGCCCCGGCCCGCGCGGCACCGGCAGCGATGCCGGGAGCGCCGGCAGCGATCCGGAGAGCAGCGGCAGCGATGCTGGCAGCAGCGGGCGGACACTGGGAGCGCTCTCCCTGCCGGGGCCGCTCTTACTGGGAGCGCTGGGAGGGAACTGGGAGCGAGCGGCGCCCGGACGCGGCTGCGGCCGGCGGGGGCGGGGCCAGCCCCGGCGGGCGTGGTTATGCAAATCCGGGAGAGATCGCGCGCTGGGATTGGTGGGCGGGAGCAGCGCGGTGTTTTCCCCGTCACGTGAGGGCCGCGGGGGACCGGAGCGATGGCGGCGGCGTCCGGTGAGAGGAGACACGGAGCGGGAATGGGGACAGGGAATGGGGACAGGGAATGGGAATGGCGACCCGGGATGGGGACAAGGACCAGGAATGGGGACAGGGAATGGGGACAGGGAATGGGAATGGCGACCCGGGATGGGGACAAGGACCAGGAATGGGGACCAAGAATGCGTACGGCAGAATGCTGGAACGGGACCGGCGGGACACGGGGCAGGGGTTACCGGGAACCGAGCGTGGTGAGGCGACACCAAACACCCGACCGGGACGGTTAACGGGGACAGGGGACAATATTCACCGGGTTGGACACCGGAACGGCGGGGGGGACACGGGGACAGCGGTGGCACCGGGGACAGCGAGTCCGGAGCGGAGCGGTTAGCGGCGACAGGGGACACCGGGGCGAGGGGGGGGTGGCACCGAGCAGGGGGGACACCGGGCCGAGGTGACACCGGCGGGTGTCCCCAGAGACCGAGCGGCTGCTGAGCCGCGGGCCCGGGTACGGCACGGCCCAGGCGGCGCCGGTACCGGGGCAGGAGGAGGAGGAGGAGGAGGAGGAGGAGGAAGAGCTGCGGCGCCGCCTCAAGTATTTCTTCATGAGCCCCTGTGACAAGTACCGGGCCCGCGGGCGGCGGCCCGTGAAGCTCGCGCTGCAGCTGGCCAAGATCGTCCTGGTCACCGTGCAGGTGACACCGCCGGCGACACGGGGACGGCGGGCGGGGACAGGGGGATGGCCGGTGGGGACA